AGCTAAATCCCTAGTCTTTATAAAATATATTTTATATTCTAACACATCTTTACCTATGTACCTGAAACAAAATTTTCATGAAATAACATCTATCTTTATTTCTTGAGAGGCACACTATTTCTATTCTACTCTGTTCTATTTCAGCTTATCTTTTTTTTTCCTTTTTAATTTTTCATTTTTATTAGCCCATGTTTGCAGTGTATAATGCTTACATTCATTGTAGGGAATCGGTTCATGTACATAACTCTATTTCAATTTATAATGCTGGGCACAAGCCACTAGGTAGGCTGCATGAACCACTGAGGTCTGAGACTCATCATTTTAAAAATATAGCATTAAATAATGTACTTTTGGTGTTTTTAGTATCCATGGATGTTAACATTAACATTTGATTTCACTCAAAAGAATGATGTTAATCTGACCTCATATCCCGTAAAGAATGTTAGGGAACATAGATTTGGATTTAATCCCGGTAGGATTCTCACCTGTTTAGAACCCTATAAAAATCACCCCAGCCCAGGCTTTCCCCTCAGTCTTCTCCATCCGACTGAGCCCTCTCTGACAGAGATCTCAGAGCCATGCTGCTGTAATCTCAAACAGAAGACCCCAGCGCTCTCTGTCCAACTACAGAAGCGCAACCGAGACCACCGTGCACACGGTCCTACCTTCAGCAGCCTTCGGACTCATCATTTCTGTGACAAATCCTGGCGACGGGTGGCTGTGGTGAGGACTGATTTGAATTGGAGTCTCTAACCCTTGAACCTGCATTACCATCCTTAGCTTATTCACAGCAACAGAAAATGAGACTAGGTGAGAAGTGAGAGAAGGCCAGAGGTTGTGTGGTTTACTGATTAACTTCATTACAGAGCAGAATATTTGTGAATGTTTATGAGAACAGTCCTCCTTGCCAAAGTGCCTCGTAAGCTAGAAACCAGGCTCTTAGATAAATATTCTCAGGGAGCACTCTCCCAGCTTAAGAACCCATAGAGGACAGGTTTCTGCTCCATGGCTCTACAACTGTATTTGGAGGTCAAGTGCCATGCTCCAGGTCTTGACATTTGCAAGAGAATGGCATCACTCTGTACTGTCAGGAAGCATTAAAACATAATGCTTAAGGGTAAGCGGTCTGGAAGCCTACTGATCAGGCCAACTGGGTTCGCATCCAGTCTTGTGCCTTGAAGTGTGTGCCACCCCACCCCTAAAATTCACATGTACCTCACAAAGTGACCTTCTTTGGGCAATCAAATTCAAATGAGGACTAGGTGGAGCCCTAAATCAGTCTGACTCATCTCCTTATAAAAAGGAGGAGTAGAGACCCAGACAGACACACGCGGAGAGAAGGTGATAGAAAAATACACATACGTGTAAATACCAAATAGTTTCTCTAGTGTGAGAAACTGAAAGTGTAAATAAGGATGAAAATGATTCAAATGAATAATTGATAATTTGAAATAGGAAGAAAAGGTCCAAAGGGGTGGGGTGATGGGAGGGGAAGGGGAAAGGAAAGAAGGGAAAGGAAAAATTATGAGAAAAGAAAAAAATGGAAACAAAGTCTATGTAAACAGGAAAGGGTGGAGGGGGTAAAGGGTGCACAGGGAATGGGGAAAAAATAAGAACCAAGATACATCATGTACAGGTACAAGCACTCAATGATAAATGTAAACGTATTGTATACCTAAAATGTACCAATAAAAGAACTGAAGGAGAGAAAGAAAGAAAGAAAGAAAGAAAGAAAGAAAGAAAGAAAGAGAGAGAGAGAGAGAGAGAGAAAGAAAGAAAGAGGGAGAGAGAAAACAGCTTGGACAAGCCAAGGAGGGGCACATAGAAAAGATTCTTCTCTTGAAGCCCTTAACAGGAACCGACTCTGCTGACATGTGATTTTAGGCTTCTGGCCTCCAGAACTATGACATGATGCATTTTTGTTGTTAAAGCTACCGACTCTACTGTTACAACAGCCCTAGCAAGCTAATACATCCAGGCTTTCTTGATATTTGCTAGTTCTGTGGACCATGAACAAACTCATGAACCATTTTCTGCCTTGATTTACTCATCTGTAAAAATGGAGCTGATAATTATGCCAACTGATAGTTATATATGGATTAAACAGAAATAAGTATTTAGAAAATGTTGAGCACAAAGGGTGACCACCCATCACTGATGTTATGATTACTCAGTTTGGACTCATACTGTGGTGTGGGTGGCTTATTGAATAGAGATAATTCTATTGTTTTATCTTGTAGCATAATGTCTGGATATCAAGCATTAGTCTGCTGTTGTTTGCTTGCTTGTTTGTTTGTTTGTTTGGGGAAAGAGAGAGCTTTAGAAGGAGACTTAGTACATCCAGTGTTGAGCTCAGGCATAACACAGCATTGTGTAACCCTAGGCACGTTTCCTCACTCCCGTGGGCCCCATTTGTCTACACTAACAGATGCTAGAACACAGATAATAACTGCGCCCTACATTTTCTCTTAGGCCCGTTGTAAAGATAAAATGAGATAGTAAATAGGAAAGCAGCTTTTAGAGGCAAGGTGACATATGTGTGTAATAATTGCCAAGGCCTCTCTCCAGCCTTACAAGCACACGAAGCGGATCCATGGCATGAGCTCACTGGCTCATCACTCGCCCTTTGTGGAAGGCATGATTTGTGAGGTCCACTGTCTCCACCCCTCTTTTGCAGAGCAGGCAAAGCAGCTCAGTGTTTGGTGCACAGTAGGAGATGAACCTCCTGACCTGTGACTCAAAATGTCGTGACTGGGAAATTAAGACACACTTGCCCTAGTTGCCGAAAAAGAGGAAAAGGGGGTGGTCTGTGGGGTACTTCAGCTGGGGTGCCAAATCAAGGGTCACCGTCTCAAAACTCTTCTCTGCTTCTTTGGACCTCATTCTCCTCACCTCATCATCCCCAAACTACCCCTACCCCAAGAGGAGCTTGGGCAGAAGAGCTACTAAAAGGATGTGAACCAAGACAAGCCATCTCTAAATTCTCTATTTCGAGAATTCTCCACTGAATTTTTCACTGGGTGATGTAAACAGGCATGCGTGTTGCCTTCTGAAACATCACATTAGATAAGGAAGGAGCAGGATCATTCAGTGCATCCAGAGAACCTCTGTGGCTGTGAAACTCATACAGAATGTTCTCATGAGACCGTTTGGATCCCTTTGCTTCTCCCTGAAAAGATCCACCGCCTCATGTTATTTTTGTCTTCTAAATACACATTTTTTTTTTCCTGCAGATCTCTGCTTTCTGAAACAGTAGCCACTAGCTGTCTATGGTTATGAAAACTTAAGTTAGAATCAATTCCCCAATCACACTGGTCATATTAAAGTGTTTGGTGATCACGTGTGCCCTGGACATAGTAGATCCAGAACATGTCCATCGTCACAGATCATTTGACGGGACAGCACTCTTGCAGATGGGGCCTGGGTGCAGTGGGAATAATTGATAATTGAGCATCAGCTCTGAAGGCATGAAAGAAGGAAAGTCCCAGCCCAAAGGCTGGCAATGCCCTTCCGAGCACAATCCTTGAGAAGAGCCGAGACCAACAGGCTCTGATACAGTCTCACCGGAAAGACTTTGTCCGTTGAGAAGATGAACGGAAGTGTTCTCTTAGCCCAGAGCTTTAAACATTCAAGTCTGATTTCTTGTCCTGATTATATCTCAGTGGCCTGTTTACTGTTTATGGAATGTTGAACAGATTATTTTACATGTTTAAATATCCATGTTTTTCAGCATAAAGGGAGAATAGTGATGGTATCTACCACATAGAAGTGTTGTGAGAATTAATATCACTAGTAGATAGAGCACAGACCCTTATGATGGGCCTGTATCTCTTCTGAGCACCATAAAAGCAAGTAAATTGTGAAATGATAAAGAATTTGCCTAAGACCACAGATGAAATGGCAGAATTGGGATGGAACCAGTAAATCTGCTAACAAATCTAAAACGTACTTTGTGTGATGTTTGACACATGGAAAGCACTGAAGAAATGGCTATCGTCACAATTCTTTTTATCACTGTAAGTATGAATTTTGTGATCTGATTTATAATCAACCTTTCTCACCCTGAGAAGCTGTCTCTTAGCCTGCCAGGTTGAGAGTTTAGCCCTAGAATGCACTGGAATCTCCCACCACCTGGCCAACTTGTCTGTAGCTCTCTGTTTTGCTGCAGGCCTCGACCGAACTACGCATGCCCTATCTGAAAGTAGCAGTGAGCTGTTCTGTAATAAGGAAAGGTTTCTTCAATATCTCTTTCCTTTCTCATTCTGTACTCCACTATCAAGAGTACCAGATCTCAGGCTCCTTGGGAAAACAAAACTCAAAGCCCCAGCAAATTAACAAAAACCTTAGAGAATGCTTACAGTTGTGGAAGAGATATGGACAAGAACCAATAGTGACAAAATATTTCAAGTATGCTTCTTTGAAGAAAAAGCTCCATTTTGTCTGAGCAAGTGGTAACTTTCCATATTCTGGAAACTTTCAGCTTTAATTCACCCAATAAGTCAGAACTGCCTTTTTTGAGTTGAACTCGGAGAGATGGAAAAATACTTAAAATCAAATGTCAGAAATATTCTACAAAACTTCATTTTAAAACTTTTAATTGCATTTAAAAGCATCTGGATGATTCTGAAACATCTGGAAGATTCTCTTCACGTAAGCATAGGCGAGAACCAGATTTTAAATCAAATATCTTCTGGTAAAAATACAGCACATCCAGAGAAAATGGGCATAAGCTAAGTGACATATAAAACAATACGAAACGGCCAAATAAAATGGAATGTAAGTGAATAAGATTATATGGATCTGCCTTCTGCTACTGGGTGGGCCTCATTCTAAGTGGAGCTTTGGAAAAACCATTAGATACAATAATAAAAATGTGGATTCAAAAGCTGTTGTGGCAACAATCATGCCAAGATGAGATGGAGAACATGTTTCCTTCCTTAGGATGCCCAGAAATTTATTTACGTGTTAATTTTTGTTGGCTCTTTGAAAATTTTTTCCACTCAACAATGATAAGATAAACAGTACTTCCTTTTTCCAATGAGTGGATTAACGTCTATAATTTCAACCATTTAAAATGAAACAAGTGCTTCTTAAATTCTGGGTTCATTGTAACGTTTTGGAATACCCTGGAGTTTACAGAGCTACGTCCCATTTGTTCCTCCCAATAAGCTGTGGAGTATCCTTATCCCTCCATTTCACAGGGAGAAAACCGAGCATGTCACTGGATTCTGAGACTTCATTTCTTTTAATTTCATTTCTTTTTTTCCACTCACATTCAGTGAAATTTTCCCACCATCACTGACGTGAGTAAATCCAGAGACTCATCCTAGGAATGCTGGGCGTGGGAACATAAGACTGAACCTTCTCTTCCTTATTCTGACTTGTTATTTGAATGCTGCACCTATCAGTCTTTAAAGTTCTGTGATTTTTTTCATTTTTAAACTACAATTTACTAAAATGCAATATAGATTGTTAGTCACTATATCTAACTGCGGGAAGCTGTGGACTTTGCCATCATTGCTTTTTATTGTGCACTAATTACATAAAACCTTGCCTTCATTCATCAGAGATGCCTTTTTTAAGCCACTAAATTAATATTTGACCAGGTTTCTCAGCTGGCAGGTTTTCCCAAAGGAAGAGAGACTTATCCCTGAGGTCAGCATGTCCTTCCATTCCAAGTCTTCCGTGTGGATTCAGTTACGCATGGGCTAGATTCTATCTGGATTTGCCAGGGCAGCAGAATTAATTACAGCACCTCAAGGAGGTGAACCCAGCCCCCTCTCTGCCTCTCCAGTTTGTCTAAGGTTTTTGCTCCTTTCTCTGGTGATGATGTCACAACCTTGAGCTGTAGCTGAGGCATCTCAGTGCCGACACGGCAGCCTCTCAAGAGCGTGCCACGTGCCTTTTGCCTTCTCTACAGAACTTCTCCAACACCGCAGGAGACTGCTCCACTTGAGCACAGGGCCAGTCCAGAAGCGCAGGACAGTCGGTGCCCACAGGATGGCCCCGGCCAGAGGGAACCAAAGACCAGTCACTAAGTGCTCCAGTCACCCAGCTTCCCCCTGACAATTCTCTATGCTGCTCTCAGGGTTGCCTACCCATCTTGAGCTCAGCAGTGCTCTAGATGGCTCACTTCCTCCCACCTCCCCATCTCACTGCCCGCCCCCCCCCCGCATCTGCTTCCCATCACTTCTGCCATAAACTGCCCGCACAAACCCTTCCCTCAGGCTCTGCTTTTTGGAGTAACCATTTACGTGGGTAGAGATATTCTCCTTCACCTTGGGCAAAGCCTCTGGGAAATGAAGAGTTCATGGCTATTTCTAGAAGAAGCTGAGCGTTTATC